CCGATAATAAAAATAAAGCAAAATCGTTTTTAAATCGAAAGCGCTTCGAGTATTAAAATCGTAATGCGTCGACGGTGCTTAATCTAACTGCTACGAACGTTCTTTTGCAATTAAAGCTTAATCATTTAAAAGAATTCGAATAAGCGTCCGAGCTAAGACCGCTAAGCAACGGCATTTCGATGTAAAATCCGCTTTAATCGAGCAAAGACTTATATAAAGTCTGCTTTATTAATGATTTAACTATAAGTCGAAGTAGCAAAAGAAAGAGAAAAAGGTAAATTCTTACGATAAAGCGCTTTATCGATAAAGCGACTCGTAACTTTGCAAAATAGATTATTATTAAATAAAAAGATATTACTTTCCTTTTAAATAAGTCGCTAAAGCTTCGAAGCAAGTCCGTCTCTTACCGGATCATCCGTCGCTTTCGGTATAAGCTTACTACTTATAATTAAGTAATCTTTCGAAGCTTTCGCAACGCTAACCGTAGCTTAAAAGCAATTAATAGCGCTTTCGCTAATAAAGGTTTACTAAATCATTTTATCGATTATACTTTCGAAAGAAGATCGTTTAAAAGTAAAAAGAGCAGCGAAGAACGCAATAATCTTATTAAAAGTTAAGTTCTTAAGCAAATCGCGCCTTTTTAAGAGCTTAATACGAGTCGCTTCGTAGTTTATTTTTAAAAAAGAGATCACTTTGCTAAGACTTTCGTATGATTTAACAGTCTTAAAAAGCTTAGCTTTAAATTTAAGTGCAGTCTTAAAAGCTTTTAGCAGCGTAACGAGCAGATTCCGTAAGTCCTTCGGTCGTAAAGCGTTTCGGTTTAAAATCGCGATATAAGCAAGCTCGAGTTTATTTATTTTTATTAGCTTAACGAAAGTAACTTTAAGCTAGTTATAAATAGATTAAACCTTTGCTTTTATCGAAAAAGCGTTTTTTAACGAGTATAGCGTAATTCGAAAAGCTGCGTTGCGCGCTCGAATCTTTACCGGTATAATAATAGCTTTCGTATTAAACACGTAAGTATATAAATTCGCCGATATAATGCACCGCTAGCGAATTATATCCGAAGTATTAAAGTCGTTAATACGAAAAGCTTTCGCATTGCCGCCGTTAGCTGCTCGAATAAACGCTTTAGCGCGTTTTCGTATAGTTTTCTTAATAGATTTTCGTTATGCTTTTAAAGCTTTATAACGACGTTTAAAATTAAGATCATTTATTATCTTACGAACTTTTTTTAAAACTTATTCGTATTTAAAAGTATCGTTTCGGAATTAAAACGAGATCGATAGTATTTCTTTTCGGTATAATCTTATATATATTAAGTCCGCTTTATTAAAATGAAAAGCTAATCCGTATTAAAGCATAAATAAATAGCATTGATTTTGATATTTATAAAGCTTTTGTTAATAGTTAAGTAGATCAAAAGTCTATTAGCACTAATAAAAAAATATATAGAATCGTTTAAAAATCGTTTCTTCTTCGATATAACGTAGCTTCGGTTCGAATAAATGTCGGCCGTATTAATCTCGTAAACTCGATGCAAAGCGATCTTTTAAGTTTCTTTATATTAAGCTGCTTTTAATAAGTTTATATAAGCCTCTTTCGATACGGAAGCGAAGCTGTCCGTAAGTCTTAAATGAATACTAACTTTCGCTAGCTGTTTTGTAAGAGCCTCGATCTTTAAGTCAAGATCGACGAATAAAGTAATCGAACTTATAATAGTAATACTTACGCGGTAAAAAAAAAAGCATAAGTACTATCGAAGTAAGTGTTATAAAAAAATAAAACGTATAAGTTTCGCTTGCTCTCGGGAATGATAGACGGTACTTAAAGACGAGAGTTCTCGTTTTAATAAAGATTATAACGAGAAAAAGCTTTAAAAATCTCGGCGTAGCTGTATTTTTTAATTCGTTTCGTAATAATCTGTTTTTGCTTAATTAAGTCGCTTATTATAATATACACTATATTATAAGTTTGCAAGTGATCTTTTTTAAGTTTAACGTTTTTTTAAATTCGATTTTGCATCGATAATAATAAGCAACCGAAGAACTTTTACTTCAATTGCTTATCGGTAATATTTTTATTAGCTAAGCAAGCAAAGCTTATAAAGTTGAACTATCGAATAAACTATAAAAGCTCCGCTTTAAAAGCTTTTTCTTTTGCTATTTACTTATTACTCAAGTCGTTTAAGAAGCTAATACTATCTTTTTACTTAATTAAGTCGAAAGCTTTATATTCTTTTTTAACTACCGATTTAAAGTCGTCTTAAGTTATTTTCGGATCCGAAAAACTTTCGAAGCTCTCGATATTATAACGTATATTATAATCGAAAAGGCTAGAAATATTATATTTAGCAAAGCATTGCTTCTTTTTCGAATCGGTAACGATACCGTAGTCTTTAAACGCTCGTTCGAGCTAGCGAATGTAATTCGTAATATTAGCTTTATCGAAAGCAAGCATTTTAAAAGCTTTAAGTCTAAAAAAAAGTCTACGAATACTTACGTAATTCAAAGCATTTACGAAAAGTAAGAAAGCTTAAATCTTTTTTACTTCGTCTTCGGTTAGCTTACGAGTAGCATTTTTATTAAATCCGAAATCTTTTTAAGTCGAAGAAGTTATAGCTTTTTTTGATTTCCGAAAGCTTTAACGTAAGCTCGTTAAGTTAAGTTAATAGATATCGATTAAAGTATAAAAGTGTCTCGAAACGGATGCGAAGAAAAAACGAAAATGATTTAGATATAAATGAATAACAAAAATAAAATAAGTATAATTTATAATAAATATTAAATATATAAAAAAATGTTATAAAAATATGAGATCTCGATGCGTCGAAAGTGATTTATTAAAAAGTCGAGTGTCGATCGCTTTAAGCTAAATAATCGAAACTAAGTCGATATAATAAACGATATTAATAATACGTTTAACTTTATAACGCAAGATCCGTAATAAACGGAAAAGTAATTGCCGAGATTAAGTATATCGAAATAAAAACGAAGTCGAGTAATAGCCGAGCTTCCGTGCAAGCATATAGCTTGCTTTTAATATGATACGATATCGAAACGGTTTCGAATTATAAACACTTATTTCCGCTCGTCGTATCTTTTATTTGCTAAAGTAAAAGATATTCGAAAGCAATTCGAAGTTTTTATACGTAATCTCCGTTGCGAAATAAGTATTAAATTTTCAACTTTTCAAGTTTAGCGTAGTATTTCCGATACTTAGCTATTGCTTACCCTTTTTAAAAAGAAAAAGCAATAGACTCGTATTAGAAACGATATGAAATCGAAAAAGTAAAGTATATTAAACGAATAATACTTCGAGCGTATCGCCGTGCAAAGTAGTTTAAGTAAATAATACTTTATAAATACCGAATTGAACTTTAGCTAGCTCGATCTTCGAACTAAAGTAACGACTTTTTAAATAGTACTTATCGAGTATACCGAATAGCATGCTCGACGGACACAAATCGAAGAAAGATCGCTTTTAAAGCAATAGCCTCGAAGCTTATATGCAAAAGCACTTGACTATTAGCTTAGCGTATATCGAGTACTCTTCGAAAGAGCACCGCAAAAGCATATAGCTAATAGCTTAACGTATGACGTAAACTCCGAATATATAACTTCTCGCAAAAAAAGCAAATCTAAAAAAGATATAAAAACCAACTTTTAATTCGATTCCTTGCGTAAATCATCAAATATATATAAAAGAAAAGAGCTTCGATATATACTTAACATTAAATCAAAAGATATATATAAATATAACTATAATAGAATCGTAAGTGAATAAAAAAGGAAAAGAAAGACGATCGAAAGACACTCGAATATATA